TGGTCCTCCTGACTATCACTGTCACTTCAGTTGTTGTTTCCTATTGGTCATCGTAACTATTAATGTCGCGGACTTCAATGTTGTTTACTTATCGACCTAACTGTATCAATATGCATTATCTGTAACGTTTTACGAATCGAATCCGAATCGCTAGTTTGGGATCCTGATTATCTTCTGTACTCAGACCTAGTACTTCTGGATGCTCGTAGGATGCATGTTCTACTTCATATCAAGTCTTCTTTTACTCAATAAGAGGGTTAGGACACTCGGATTAGAATAGCATGTCGTGTCGCCGGATCCTCGATCCTCGCTCTTGTTTTCCGACTACGGTAATCTCGTAATAGTTCACGCATATCAAATGACATGTTTACGTGGATTCGTAGCCGGAAAATAATTTAATTTTTTAATATAAGCACGATAAATGACTTCTTTAACAACATATATACATATGACACTAATTCGGTCACATGTCTTTTAACAAGGAACATCGTGATCTTTTTTCAACTGTTACATACTTTAGTCGTTGGTCTAAGCCTTTAGTTCTTGTGTTTTAAAAAAAATTTTCAATAAAATTTGAATTCATTTGAAAAGCCATTGAATGATAGTGAAAAATGAACAATATTAGGGTACACTCATGAGCCTGTATATGTAATTAGCACCTTCGAATCTCATGACAATTAAGTCATCTTAAGAGCACCAAATCGGTTTGCAACACCAAAGTCAAACAATCCGCTATATTACGTGATGATCATCCAATTACATCTTTCTCACTCACAACATAAGTGGACGCTACTAGCCACCATTTCTCACTAGAACCCTACAGTTCATCTGAAAGTTAGTCATTAGTAATTAGAAAACTGTGTATTCTGTGAAACTTGGCTCACTTTGAATATGGTTTTCTTAAAGAACAAAGCTATATAAAATAAATGTCGTGATTATCACCACATAAAACGAAATGAAAGAGGGACTAATTTTAAAGTTTTGGGAGAGTATATATTATATGATTTATAAATTATAAGCATTTAAATAGTTTTCATAAATCGCTTTCATTAATTTCATCAGTATCATATAAATCAATACTAAACTTTCCATCATTATAAAACGAAACAAAGGTGTTAATTCAGTGATCGAAGCTTATACCACCGATTGGATTCGTTGCATTTAATTGTAAATTATTGACATAGTTGCGTTGGTCATATTTGTGATCATAAATGATAAGTCACTGAAAGTTTTAAGAATAATCTATTTGTTTACCAAAGTGACTATGCTGTTTAACACTAGGTAACTCGTCTTTCACGATAAGATCTATGATATATTTACACTTTGATCTCCTAGCTAACTTGCTAACAAAAACTGAACAGAATAGTAACAAATTACCGTTTATGGAGATGAGTATATAACTTTCTAATTAGAGTTATGGAGATTAGTGTTTTCGCACATTGAAGTCATTAATCATTCATTGTTAGACCACCTTTAGAAACCTGGAAGCATTTGACGGCCGTTTTGTCCTGGTGTGGGGCTCCTCAGCAGTGTACATCCACAACTCCTGCCCCTTACAGGGTTCGAACCCAGGACCTTCGGTCTTGCGCGCCAACACCCAACCTTTGGACCACTGAGCTGGCTTCCAACGGTGTTAATGTTTAACACCGTTCTAAAGATTTTGCGCGACTTCACCCATTTGTCTTTGGTGGTTACTGCCTAAATCCAACAGGGTTGAACTCCACTGGTCACGTCTTCTCACTAGAATTCCGAGAATTTCCTTACGAAGCTGGTCACTAGTGGGCACATTTTACGATTTTTCAATTAGAGTTATGGAGATTAGTGTTTGTTGTATTTTAAAATATACTTCTGTTAATGAAAAAAAATAGAGATTTAGTGTTAACTCCTTGCCAGTTAGCTTTACATTTTACAATACATATTGAATGATCACACTGTTTACATTTAATGTTTGTGACAGTGATCAATGGATATACCAAAAAAAGAAGAACCAAAGTAGGAACTCCATTGCACAGTACCATCTGTCATGTCGCTTCTCAAGCTTCATAATTTTCAATTAAAATGTAGATAGTTCCATTGCATTGATCATGTCAGTCGGTCAGTTAGCATGTGATGTTTAGATCAAAGATGCCGGCCAATAAAAATCCACCAATTTAACTGTCATATAAATTTTATCTCTAGTTTAGACTGATAGGTAAAAGCCTAAAAAATTAACTTCGATCAAACTTTCGGCTTATAAGACAACCTTCTGTTACTACAAGATAATTAGTTACGAACAGCATGATAGATTGTGCGAATATTTCAATGGACACTAATATATCTTAAATTAGTGATCATTCATTCAGTTTATTCTGGTAATGGGTACTATTAAGCAAAATTTCTTGGGTGAAATAATACCGACCTGTTATCATCGCATTTTCATAGTCATGCATTGGCAAAGATGTGCAAAAAGGCATAACCTAAGCATGGTCTAGCATAAGCTGGATAATAAAATTCACTTTCTACAGACTCAAGCACTGAATGGCGTGTATAAAATTAAGCACAAACTCCACAAACTATTTCTATGTTTTCAAAGTTAAAGTCTACTATGACTCATTGATTCCTGTCTAACAGTCTATTTTTAACTCGACAATAAAATTCAAAAGTAGACAAAAGAAATTCTAACGATATCATCAATATTATGACTCATTTCAGAAGCAGTGATGCAGATACTGGAAGCCTCGATTTTATGGGTGATAAAGTCGAAAACGTAGATTTACTATATGCGCAATGCATTCGTCATCATCAAAAAGAACGAGTTGAAAAATACTTACAATTCGACAAGCCACATCTTTGATGAAATATATTTCACGACAGGAAAGTATCAGAACAAAAAGGTGGCATTCTTTGATGTGATGATCACCAGAAGCAACACACACAGAAACTCAGATATATTGGGGGCTAACTCACACAGATCGAATTCTCAACATCAGTAACAACAACCCAAGAACTCACAAAGTCAAATGTAGGATTTAATTTTTCTACAGATGTTCTTCTAGAACTGTAAACGCAATATTGGCGAGCACATAGTCTGTGGGAAAGCTGTAGTCAAACACAAGACCAATTTGGTTTTAAACTTTTATGTTTTTAAACATAAAAACAATTAGATTAGTACAATAATCAAGGAAATTACAGTTATCAAGTAAAACGAGCGAACGTACCGACCAATATAAAGTGTCTTATGGAAATGAATAAAGTTATGAGTCACATCAATATAATAAGATAATAATGTCCTTCAACTAGTAGGTCATTTACAGTAAAAAATAGTTTACAGAAATGTCAGATCAGATCACGTGGTGGGCGCTCAAAACACAATTTGATTGGTTAGTTATGACATAACTACAATTAATTATGGAAATAACTAACATCAACTGCACATAAACTTTATAGGTTTAGCTCATTAACCGCCAAAATCAATCAAATTAACTTTATGCAAACCAAAAGACGAAATAACAAGTGAAGAAAAGCCAAATCTTAACTTTAAAATAAACTATACCAACTGCGATAAACGCTACTACTCCAGACAAAGTGTGAGCTCTCGTCATCTTTATGTATATGAACACCAGATGTCAGACATCATTACCTAACTTTGCGTATATATCAACAGACGTCCACAATTGTGGGCATACATTTGACTGGTAAAATTTTGAAATTTTGGTTATAGGAAATAGTAACATGACTAAAAAAGTTTTAGAAGCTTAACACTCAGGTCAATGAACTACACATTTTCTCCACCATTTCAATATACTACTTATATAGTTTCAATTTATCGGTCAAATTTATGCGTGAGTGATTGAGATCAATCAATCAATCAGTCAGTCAACCATTTAATGAAAAATGTGTTTACATAATTTATATCAACTGAAATAATTATGTACGTTTATATAGATTTTTTCAATTTTAATCAGTTTGGATTATTGTATACAATCTGTTTTACTGTTCTCAAAAATATGAATAAATTATTCGTGGATATAAAATTAACTTAGGTAAATCTCTTCTAACTGATTTATTATTCATATTTACTAAACATTCAGACACTCAATGAATAATAGATATTAAAGAGGAGATCTGTTATCAAGTGACAAATAAGTGAGAATGTCAAACTTGAAAGATGATGTCTTGGCATCTCATCATTCATATTTTTAATGTGGATACAGTTAATACTTAGTTTATGAAACTTTGATAATATGCCGATTGTAAGCTTTTATTTGACTCATTGTTTACAGTTACATCTTATTCCGTTTTCACATTATTGTAGATTAATTGCGAACCTGTTATTCAGATGTTGTATTGTAAATGATCAATTTGGAAACATATTGGAATTTTTTATTTATGGCAGTCTTAAAATTCATAAATGTAATAAAGTAAGCTTATAAGTCAGACATACAAAGACAATATAGGGACATGGTTTGTTGATGAAATATTTACACTTAATCTTCAAACGTCTATTTTCAATACAAGCAGGTTATTGACTGTCTTCTCTCATTCTTCTTCTAGTCTTCAGAACACTCTGATCACTCTATGCATTTCAATCTCTTGACACTCTTCTCTATGATAGCAACTTCTAAACGACGCTACGCTACATATTACTTATAAGCCACGTTGTGAGTAGCATACACTACACTGAATCCATTAAAAGCAGACCATGATCAGATCAATATTCCTAAGGCATTCAGTATGCTTATCAAACAATGAACTCCTCTTTTATTTTACTTTAAGGAAGGCATTGTCATAAAATACCAGCGATCTGACCATGCATGTGAAGCAGGAAAGCGCAGTTGACCACTTTATGTTTTTGTAAACATAATTGCAATGAAATTATTTCACCATTTACGTGGTCCATTCATCAGGTTGTCATTGCTAATACGAGTAATTGTGATCTTTCTTCCTTTGCCCAACTTTTATGCCTAGATTCACAATAATTAACTTTACATCAATCCTAACTTTTATCTTCAGTGTTATATTGTGTATTGTTAGGATATTCACCAAATATCCTAAGAATACTATTTTTAGAACTGCAATCCTATTGGTCGAATTCTATTGGCCGAAATTATGATCGTTCTTACCGTCAGGGTCAAATACTTCAATGTTATCTTTTATTGGTCATCTGGACAGTCAATGTCATTCAAATGTTCTTTTCTATTGGTCGTCCTAATTTGTCAATGTCACGGACGTTGATGCTTTTTCTTATTCGACCTTAGTGTATAAATACGCGCTATCTGGAAGACTTAATAATTCCGTTTCCCCTGCCTACTTGTTCTGCTGTTTTCGACCCAATAAACATCTTCCTGCCACGGTGTTACGTTCTGATTTCTAGGAGATTTGGAAAAGCCTTTTGGGTCGTTTTGTGATATTTGAATTGGACGCCGTTAGGACTGAAGAGTTACGTAGCCGCGTTTACAACAAATTTGGCGACGGGTTGGTGACTAATTATGGATCCAGCTACATTAGAAAAATTGTTTGCACAGCAGCTGAAGCTGATGGAGATGCTTACTCAGACGCACATCTCTTCTCAAGTCTCATCTACACCAACAATTCCTCAGTCAGTTGATGGTATGACCAGTAGTATTTCTGAGTTTCTGTATGATCCTGACGCCAATATTACATTTGATACTTGGTTCATGCGTTATGAAGATCTTTTCAAAGTTGATTTTGCTGACAAAGATGATTCCTGGAAGGTGCGTCTTCTCCTTCGAAAACTTGGTCCGTCAGAACTGGACAAGTATCGCAACTACATCCTACCGCAGAACCCACGTGACAGATCATTCGATGCTACGGTTCAGTCCCTCAGCAAACTTTTTGGGGATCAGCATTCTATTTTCAATACACGTTATCGTTGTTTAAAACTAGTCATGAATGAGTCCGATGACTTCTTGACTCATGTTGGTATTGTCAACCGCGAGTGTGAACGGTTCAAACACAGATCCCTTACTGATGACCAATTCAAATCACTCATATTCATATGCAGTCTACAATCACCCAAATTCTCCGACATCAGAACTCGATTGCTTAACCGCCTCGAACAAGACCCAACACTGACACTCGATGCTATCGCTGATGAGTACCAACGCATCACCAACTTACAGTGTGACAACACTTTGGTTCAATCTGGGAGCCAGGGTGGTTCCGAAGTTCACGTTGTTCAGCAGCAGAACAAATCTTCTAGATCGAAAACCTTTGGTCGTTCGAATGCCAGTTCTGTTTCTAATCACTCAAAATCAACGCATAAGAAGCCCCCCTCACCATGTTGGCACTGTGGAGACTGGCATTACGTGAAATTTTGTCCATTCAAGCAGCATGTGTGCAATCGCTGTCAGAAAATTGGTCATAAAAGCGGTTTTTGCCAATCAACCCGATTCACTGGCCGGCGAAATTCACAGACGCAGCGTCGTTATTCCAAAAAGCCGGTTGCTGCATCTAGGAGTTTAGCAGCAGTCTTCCACACCGATGCTTCTACTCGACGCAAATTTCTGACCCTCTCGATCAATGGTCAGCTGGTTCGGTTGCAGTTGGATACTGCATCAGATATCACTATTCTTTCAGAAGAGACTTGGCGAACCTTGGGTCAACCACGCATCAAACCATCGTCGCAGACAGCTGTCAGTGCCTGTGGGGGTCACCTTCGTCTTCGTGGTAAACTTCATTGCTGTGTTTCGTTCAGAGGTACAACCTTCGATGGAACATGCTACATCACCAAGTCTCCTCTAAACCTTCTGGGGTTAGATTGGTTCGAAGAACTTGGTCTTGACGATCTTCCCATCAGTACTATTTGCAATCAAGTGAAAACTCCTGTGACTACACAACAACATGCTGCAGATCTTCAAAAACAATTCACAAAACTCTTTCAGCCTGGTCTCGGATTTTGTTCCACAGCGGAAGCTATTTTGAGACTGCAACCAGAAGCTACGCCAGTTTTTCGTCCAAAACGCCCAGTCCCATACGCATCTCTTCCTCTGGTTGACGCTGAACTGCAACGGCTGGAAACGGAAGGTGTTCTTGTGCCTGTCTCTTACTCATCATGGGCGGCACCGATTGTGGTTGTAAAGAAAGCCAATGGTTCCATACGCATCTGTGCAGACTTCTCCACAGGACTAAACGCGGTACTACAGCAGCATCACTATCCGCTGCCGATTCCAGATGACTTATTTACTATTTTAAATGGTGGGACATACTTCGCTAAGCTAGACCTAGCAGATGCTTACCTTCAAATTCCTGTCGCTCCTGAATCGAGAGAGTTGTTGACAATTAACACTCACCGAGGACTTTTTCAGTATACCCGGTTACCCTTTGGTATCAAAACTGCTCCAGCGATCTTCCAGCAGATTATGGATACTATTCTGGCAGATGTTCCTGGTGTTGCTACTTACCTTGACGATGTCCTCATTGTCGGCTCAACTGCTGATGAATTGTATACCAGAACACACTCAGTTCTTCAACGCCTTCAGGATAATGGTTTTCGCCTTCGTCCAGAGAAATGCAAATTTTTCTTACGTTCCGTTAAATACCTAGGGTTTATTTTCGATGCTTCCGGACGTCATCCTGATCCTCAAAATACTCATGCAATTCAACAAATGCCGGCTCCCACTGATGTCTCCTCACTGCGATCATTTTTGGGGATGGTTAGCTACTATTCAGCTTTTCTCCCAGCATTGCATGACGTACGTTATCCTTTAAATCATCTGCTAGAAAAGAATGCCACTTGGAATTGGTCTTCTCAATGTGAATCAGCTTTTTCGAAACTTAAAGCCATGCTAAGCTCCAAACTACTCCTAACCCACTACAATCCGAAACTACCCATTGTGGTTGCCGCTGACGCTTCAACACATGGACTGGGTGCTGTGCTCTTACATGTTTTTCCCGACGGCTCAGAGAAAGCGGTGGTACATGCTTCCAGAACACTGACACCTGCTGAAAAACGTTACGGTCAAATCGAGAAGGAAGCGTTAGCCATAATTTTTGCTGTCCGGCGATTCCACAAACTAATTTATGGGCGCCGTTTCACATTGCTCACAGACCATAAGCCATTGTTATCAATATTTGGATCAAAAAAGGGCATCCCCGCCCATTCTGCTAATCGTCTTCAACGTTGGGCGTTGGCATTACTGGGGTACGACTTCGACATCCAGTATCGACGTTCCGAAGATTTCGGCCAAGCTGATGCGCTGTCCAGACTTATCAGTAGCCACTCCACCACTGATGATGACACCGTCATAGCTACAATATTAGCAGAAGAGGATCCCAGTGCTACACTCTTAGCGAATGCCATTCGAGCAATGCCTGTAACCGCTGGAGATATTCAAAAAGCTACCAGGGACGACCCGTTTATTCAAGAAGCGATCACGTATGTTCAGAGCCGATGGCCAGTTAAGCAGCTAAGTGGTGATATGAAACATCTAGCGAATCGTCGCAGTGCTCTATGTGTTGTTAACGACTGTCTGATGTTCGGTGACCGTGTAGTAATTCCAACAACCCTACGTCCCAAGGTCCTACGCCAATTTCACTCTGGACACCCAGGGATAAACCGTATGAAATCCATCGCTCGGAGCTATGCATATTGGCCAAACATGGATAGGCACATTGTCGATTTCGTCAGAAGATGTTCACAGTGTCAAACAGCTGCGAAAAATCCCAAGTTACTTTCAGTACCCTGGCCAAAGTCAGAAAAACCCTGGTCACGAGTGCACATTGATTTCGCCGGACCCCTAGATGGTACCACATATCTGATACTGGTTGACTCTTTCTCCAGATGGCCGGAGATATTGCCGATTTCCCCACCATCTACAACTCGAACCATCAAACTTCTTAAGCAGATCTTCAGTCAGCATGGTCTTCCAGAAACAATAGTAACAGACAATGGTTCGCAGTTCACATCCAGTCAATTCCAAGAGTTTTGCCTGCAAAATTCGATCAAGCATGTCCGTTCTCCGCCATATCACCCGCAATCTAATGGACAAGCCGAAAGGTTCGTTGACACATTTAAACGAGCCATGTTTAAAGCAAGAGGGGAGGGGACCACATACGACATCATAGAAAAATTCCTTTTCGTGTATCGGACGACCCCACATGACTTATTACCAAACTACAAATCCCCTGCTGAGATGCTCATGGGACGGAAGCTACGAACAGTTCATAGTGCGATGACACCTAAGCGATTGGCCCAACAAAGACCTCGAATGCAGACGACGCGAATGCCTTATGAAGTTGGTGCGAAAGTGTATGCGCGGGACTACAGACACGGATATGATAGATGGATAGAGGGTGAAGTCACTAAGAAACATGGGAACGTAATGTATGATGTCAGGGTGAGCCGAGATATTTGGACCAGGCACCATAATCAACTAAGGCCAAGGGAAGCTGATAAAAAGGGTGACATTACGAAACGCCTCTCACTCGACTTACTGTTGGATACTTTTCAACTTCCGACAATAACTCCAACAGAGACTACTGAGTCATCTACTCAAGCAGAACATCCTCCAAGTTCAGAGTTGGTATCTAGAAGGTGGTCGGATCGCAAACGTAAACAACCAAAGAAAATTCAGATAAATCCTCGGCTGCATCGCTATTAATTTCTTTTCTTTTCAGAGGGAGGTGTTAGGATATTCACCAAATATCCTAAGAATACTATTTTTAGAACTGCAATCCTATTGGTCGAATTCTATTGGCCGAAATTATGATCGTTCTTACCGTCAGGGTCAAATACTTCAATGTTATCTTTTATTGGTCATCTGGACAGTCAATGTCATTCAAATGTTCTTTTCTATTGGTCGTCCTAATTTGTCAATGTCACGGACGTTGATGCTTTTTCTTATTCGACCTTAGTGTATAAATACGCGCTATCTGGAAGACTTAATAATTCCGTTTCCCCTGCCTACTTGTTCTGCTGTTTTCGACCCAATAAACATCTTCCTGCCACGGTGTTACGTTCTGATTTCTAGGAGATTTGGAAAAGCCTTTTGGGTCGTTTTGTGATATTTGAATTGGACGCCGTTAGGACTGAAGAGTTACGTAGCCGCGTTTACAACATGTATCACCTTACTTTTCTTATGATTTTCTATTACATTTCATTGTGTGAAAAATATTGAACATTTGTATCTTACCATGTTGAACGTAAATTAAAATTGTTTTCTGCTGATGATGAACCTTGAAAGAGAATGATGATTTCATTTTATTCTGTATATTTTTATTGTCCTTGACTTCAACAAATAAAATTGGTTTTTCTAACCTACAGTGATAATTTCATTGAATCTGAGAACCAATCTAAGTTAGATCATTATTAAAAACTTAAGAGAACTTGGTGGCCGACTCTTAAAAGGCAGATCCACGACCTTCGGGCCCACGTGTGAACGCTTAACATCTAAATCTTTAGGCCGGAACTTAATGTTATGTAAGTCTAACTTCAATCGATCCATGATATTGCGCGCATCCTATACGAGGACAAGATAGACGTTTGGTGTTTCTAGGTTTTCACTGACTGCCTAAATTGGGTCAGTTTGTGGTTGGAATGCAACTCAACCTTCTCCACAACCCCATACTGAAAACAGTGATAATTACTTACATAAAGATATATGTCTATGTGTAAAAATATAAGTCTAAGGTAATAAATTGTAATGGGGAATAAATTCTTTGATATGAAAGTAATAATTTATTTAATAAAGTATAGATCACGATAGTTTAAAAAAAGATGTGTTGCAATTCAAACGGTTAATTCTTGTGTTGAGTAAATTATTGAATTTCATAGTTTATATCACGAGTTGATATTAGTTAACCCATCAGCGGAAAGCGGAAAGCTGTGTAAAGCCGTCCCATTCCGCTATGAAACCTCTTAGCAATGAGCTCCACGATAACACTGAAGAACAAACAAGATATTCCGGAGTCATAGCGAGTACCTAACATTTAGATCACTGGGCCGGCATCCATTTATTGACACATATATATTCAATCTCTCTGTGATGGTATATAGTCATTAAACATTGTTGTTTGTAACATGTCTCACTCTCGCCAGAGTTCACTCCTTCTCAATAGAAAATCAGGAATTACCTCTAGAAATCAAGCGTGAAACTAATGTAACCAATCCCAATGGACGATGGTTATTTTTGGCGCGAAACTCATTTATCCATATGGAAAATAGCAGTTTGGTATTATTACTGATGGCAGTTCCTGATAAAAAAAATCTCTAACGTCCAACTCTCAATCCTAATTCCTCACCAAGTTATAACCTTCTAATGGCCATAGTAAGCAAGAAAATCCTTTCAGTATCACTTTGGTTTCACTGCACCACTTATATTACAAAGTGGATAGATCAGAAAGGGATTTGACTGGAAGTTGGTGAGACAGTACACCAGAATAGCATAGCAAAGGTGAATCAAATCAGGTTAATACACGGATGAACGGATGTCATATCTTGTAAAGGCCTCCACCAGATTACTTTTACCTAATTCCTGTGGTAGACAACAAAGGGTGCCAGTTTTATGCAGATACACAGGAGGTACGAACAGAGGTTTGGAGTCAGAGTGAAACCAGAGACCTGACGAATTCAGAGACATGGAAGTGGTTGCGCGAGTAGGTAACGGTGAGTTGTGAGTCACGAATAATTTATGCAATATGATTCATTGTATGGTGTCTTGGATGTTGAGAGAATGCTGTTCGTATGAGAGTGCAAGATAATGTGATAAATATTGAAGGATTTAATCGATATGTTAGGTGATGTTAATGTGTTGAGATGTCAGATACAGTTTTGTGTAAGCTGGGTATGGATTTAATTATTGGTTTCATTAGACATCTTTCCAATTGAAAATTTATTCTCCACTCTACATTAATCAAAGGTAATTTCAGAATCTTTGCTATCAATTCAAAATGATCTAAAGGCATTCACTGCCAGCCATTCATATCAATAACTAGGGTCTTCTTAGGAGTGAGAATTCACAACTCTAAAATGGAACAATTACTAGCAAGGTTTTGCATGTGCACTACTGAAGATTCTCATTATAAGGCGAATTATCTATCCAGCATTTTTCAAGGTTTCCTTAATCAAAATCAATCTGTGATGAAAAGTACGGAATTCAACAATCTTCAAACCCCTCGTATGAGGGTTGCATATATATATAAATCAAATTATTTAACATTATTGATAAAAAAAATTATGTTGTAAATGGAATTATTTAAATGTCAAGTGAACTATGACTATTCATTATAGTGGATTTACACAGAAATTTTTGCCATACACCTTACATTTTTTGTCTTATTGAATTGCAAAATATTGGTTGTATTTTTATTTTATTTTTACATATTCAAGAATCACACTTTTTGATTATTTATCAGCATAATATATACATTCCAGCAGAGGCAATGAAAGCAGATGTAGAAGCAACTGCGAAAATATTTCACATCCTCTTCAAGAAGATTTGGGATGAGGAACAAGAACCATCAGACTGGAAACAAGGATACCTCATCAAAATACCAAAGAAAGGCGATCACAGCAAGCGCGAGAACTACAGAGACATCACTCTTCTCTTAATACCAGGCAAAGTCCTCAACAGGGTATTGTTAAATAGAATGAAGGACTTCGTAGACGCCCAACTTCGAGATCAACAGGCTGGATTGCGTAAGGATCGATCGTGTACCGACAAAATCGTAACATTACAGATCATTGTGGAACAATCATTTGAATGGAACTCACCACTAAACATCAACTTCATCGACTACGAGAAAGCATTTGACAGCGTGGATAGGAAAACACTGTGGAGGCTTCTTCGACACTATGGTGTGCCTGAGAAAATAGTTAACATCAAACGGAATTCTTATGATGGATTCAACTGCGAAATCGTGCACGGAGGACAGCTAACAGACTCTTTCGAGGTGAAGACCGATGTGAGGCAAGGTTGCTTACTCTCACCCTTTCTCTTTCTCCTGGTCATCGACTGGATTATGAAGACGTCGACATCTGGAAGGAAGCACGGTATCAACTGGACAGTTAGGATGCAGATTGATGATCCGGACTTCACAGATGACTTGGCTCTTCTATTGCACACGCAACAACAAATGCAAGAGAAGACGACCAGTGTAGCAGCAGCCTCTGGAGCAGTAGGTCTCAACATACATAAAGGAAAAAGCAAAATTCTCAGATGCAATACAAAATACTTAGGATTTGTTGGCCAGACACTATCAGCGACAACGTACTGTGGGAGAGAACAAACGACATTCCAGTGGAGGAGGAAATTAGGAAGAAGCGGTGGAAGTGGATAGGACACACACTGGGAAAAGCACCGAACTGCGTCCAAAGACAAGCCCTCACATGGGACCCTCAAGGTAAAAGGAAAAGAAGGGCAAGGAACACAATTCGCTTAGAAATAGGGAAAGATATGAGAAGAATGGACAAAAATTGGATAGAACTGGAAAGGGAAGTCCAGGGCAGAGTTGGTTTGGTAAAACTGGTGGGCAGCCTATGCTCCACTAGGGGTAACAGGCGTAAGTAAGTAAGTATGTAAGTAAGTCAAGAAAAGAAGTAAATATATTGAAAGGATTAGTAGGAAGATGAAAAGATCTACTACTCGCTGATTAGAGATCTATGAAAATCACGGTACAACAGCTGGTCGATCATTAGTTACACAACTCAGTAACAACCCCTTAAACTATGAAGCTAGGTGATCTGGGTTAGAATGTTAGAATTCCACAGACTGTTTTAGTTCTCTTGAGATTACATGTGCGCCTTGTATGATGAATGCCAAATGGCATGAGACCTAAATCCAGGGTTACTATTGACTAACTTCAACCACCTAGTGAATTTCAACTACTGCCATATTGATTTCAATGTGACAGAGCATATTTAGTTTATCCAAGCTTAGATAATTAAATTGTCTTGTCTAGTCTGTCTGCAAAATATTAATAATTCATATATATATATGTAAAATCAATAAGGAAATTTATCTTCCCTTTGAATTGTGACTAAGTTATTTTGTTGTTGAAAATATATCTAGTTTGTGAACTAAACAACAGACAATCAAGTTATGAGAAGAAAGACAAAAAAAATAAAAACTGGTAAATTACTTATACCGATCTGGTTAAATGATCTTCCATTAGTAAAAATCAATCATTCCATTTAAAGTTAGGTCTTGATCTTACCTTTCCCTAAGCAATAAATTGTTGAATTATTAAATATGAAGCGAATGTACAATGGCAACTCACATACAATTGAGTTTGTATACATTGAAATTTGGTTAAGCCCTTTTGATTAGCTTATTTAACAAATAGTCATTCGTATAGCAACAAAATTATCTGTACCATTGTGCTTTTTATTATTGTCGCGTTTGTATGGGTAGGTACGGGTGAGGATCGCTTACTCTCTGAACACATATTCATTCTACTCACTTTAATGTTAGGCTCTTAAATAATTCGATGTCTCGATCATTATCCTATGTATATATATATATATATATATGTATGTAAATTTTAATCCTACTGACTGTCTTATTTGCTCACCTACTCGCGCGCCTGCTTGCTGTTCGGCACTCCCACCAGTTTTCTCCAACCAACTCTGTCCTGGGCTTCCTTTTCCAATTCTGCCCAATTTTTGTTCATTCTTCTCATGTCTTTCACTATTTATCAGAGTAATATGTTTCTTGGCCTTCCTCTTTTCCTTTTGCCTTGAGGGTTCCATGTGAGGGCTTGCCTTGTGACGCAGTTTGGTGCTTTTCGTAGTGTGTATCCTATCCACTTCCACCGCTTCTTCCTGATTTCCTCCTCCACTAATATCTGGTTTGTTTTCTCCCACAGTACG